GACAGGTTTGGTGGTCTGGGTAGGTTTAAGGGTGGGTTAAGGTGTAAGGAATGGGTCAACATTGTAATTATAAATGTAATTACAGAAATTAATTACAGATGTAATTACATGCAGGTTAGGGACAGGTTTGTTGTTATGGGTAGGTTTAAGGGTGGGTTAAGGTGTAAGGAATGGGTCAACATTGTAATTATAAGTGTAATTACAGAAATTAATTACATATGTAATTACATGCAGGCATTTTTAAAATATAAGTACAATGTACAAACATGTATGTGCACAATAAGTGCATTGTGCCAAATTATTAATTTAAATGTAAGTACATGGTTGTTAAGGCCACTTAAACAAGTAGGTCATTTTTATTCTCAGATAATACAATATCTTTCTTCACCTGTGTTAATTGCACTGTCAACCACAGCCTATCACAGTTTTTAGCTAGATGCAGAATCATATGACATCTTGTTGGATCCATAGGTGGAGTCTTAAAAGGTTAATTCACCCAAAAATGAAACTTCTGTTGTTAATTACTCACCTTTGTGTCGTTCCACACCTGTAAAACCTTTGTTCATCTTCGGAACATCAAATATTTTTGATGAAGTTGGAGAGCTTTCTGTCCCTCTACAGTCAGTGAACTTACACATTCAAGGTCCAGAAAGGTAGGAAAGATATCAAGTAATCCATGTCATTACGTACATCATTAAATAATCACATTTTATGAAGCGACGTGAGTGCTTTGTTTGTGAAAAAAACCCCGAACATAATTGACTGCTTCATTTATGAAAATATTATCCAAACATATGTGTCGTAGTACTCTAGTGAACACTCACTCATGTGCGTTGTATTGACGCACGAGTCTTCAATCCCGTGAACACAACACAAATGCATTGTGATGCTCTCATGAACACACAATGCAGATCAATATTTTCATAAATAAAGTTGCAAAATATATTTTTGTGCAAACAAAGCACTCGCGTCACTTAATAAATTTGAGGTTAAACCACTGGAGTCACATGGAGAACTTTAACGATGTCTTTCCTACCGTTCTGGGCTTTGAATGTGTAAGTTGCATTGCTGTCTATGGAGGTACAGAAAGTGTGGCAAACACTCACACTCAACACACACACACACACACACACGAACAAAGCATTGAATAAGCCTATAACAGTGTTTTATTTAATTTCGTGGAATAAAAACTGTCAGTCACACATACAAAAACAAAGTGAGCCTGTGACTAAGCTTTTATTTATTTATTTATTTATTTTTTGAATGTACCAATCAGCACACGCGCACACACACACACACACACACATTACTATGGAGCATAGCCTGAGCATGAGCAGTAAGTTGCTGGCCACAGCTCACTTAACGGCAACCGGTGTCACTAATAACAAGGGTTTCTGAATCCTACAGAGACCCCTTTAACAGTTAAATATCAGCATTTTTAGGGGTTAATCTTTACTGCTGACAGTGAAATGGCTTGAGCCATACTCTTGAGTACAGGTGCATCTCAATAAATTAGAATGTCGTGGAAAAGTTCATTTATTTCAGTAATTCAACTCAAATTGTGAAACTCGTGTATTAAATAAATTCAATGCACACAGACTGAAGTAGTTTAAGTCTTTGGTTCTTTTAATTGTGATGATTTTGGCTCACATTTAACAAAAACCCACCAATTCACTCTCTCAACAAATTAGAATATGATGACATTCCAATCAGCTAATCAACTCAAAACACCTGCAAAAGTTTCCTGAGCCTTCAAAATGGTCTCTCAGTTTGGTTCACTAGGCTACACAATCATGGGGAAGCCTGCTGATCTGACAGTTGTCCAGAGGACAATCATTGACACCCTTCACAAGGAGGGTAACCCACAAACAGTGAATTGGTGGGTTTTTGTTAAATGTGAGCCAAAATCATCACAATGAAAAGAACCAAAGACTTAAACTACTTCAGTCTGTGTGCACTGAATTTATATAATACACGAGTTTCAAAATTTGAGTTGAATTACTGAAATAAATGAACTTTTCCACGACAGTTTCGCAGGACTGCTTAATTTTTTAAATTTTTGGTAAAGAAATTATAAAGGAGTGATAATGACACATGAAAAAATAAAGCGTAGACAAGCTTGATGGTATTCAAGTAAACACAGCCGGTCGTGTCTTAAGTGAACATATAAGAAATTAGAAGAAATATGGATCAATATATTGGATATATTGTCTAGTGTTAGGGTTAAATAATATGTTGTTTATAAGTTGTTAATGGAGGGGAAAGCACTTCTCTTTCTCTTATGTATGAATCTAACTCTAGTATTGTTAAATGTAATGGCACTGTCTCTTGCATTTCAAATGATTGCTTGTAAATATTGTTTGTATTTTCAAATTTCAAGTTACTTGTATTTTTATTTAAATACATTTCTCACACTAATATTTTATATTTTAATTAAATACATTTGATGAGCAAGTATTTGTAATTTGTAAAATATATATATATATATTTTTGATGTATTCATGCCCATCTCTGACTATCATTCATTTGATCACCAATGGCAGATAGCAAATTAAACATAGTTGAATAAAAATAATTTTATTTTGCATATCAGACATGTATTAAATGCAATAGCCATGTTCTTCTACTGTTTTTTTACTATAGAACCTGCTGAAAATGAAATTGTCGAAATTCCAGACAATATCTTTTCCTCTACCCTAAATGTACAACAATCTATAACTCACTAAAGCCTGTATGACTTTTTTGAATTCATAACATTTGAAATGCCCTGCTTCACCACACACCTTTTTATATTGCATCTGACAGTATTGATTCATTGTGTAATATTTTTTAATCACAGATAAAACCACTGATGGTTAATTTCTTTAGTGTTGCAACTAATCATAAATACATATTTAATTTTGACTGATTAAGCCTGTTTATTTCTTTAGACACAGAAGAGTTTGGACTAAATTAGAGTTACAAATGTGACAGAATTACAAATGTGATAGTTACTACATGATGGTTTTGCACAAACATGCGTCAAATGCCACAACATTAAGGATGTGAATACCTGTAATGTGGGGTTTGGTGTTTGGGTTTTCTTTCATGTTCATGTTTTTCATGTCTTTTATTTTGTAATTGTTTCATGCTGTCAGTGTCATGCTTCCCTTGCCCTCATGTATCTCTGCCTTGTGTATGTGTCATGTTCTGATTGGTAGTCTTAGTCATGTGTCTTATTTCCCATTGGTTTGTTCATTTCATGTGACCCTCCTTGTCTGCTATAAGTAGCCATCATGTTCCCATTGTGCCTTGTCGTGTATTGAAGTTGTAACCTGCTGTCGGTGAGTCTATTCTGTTTGTGCCTCGTCAAATCTGTTCATGCCTAGTCAAGTCTGTTCAAGTCAAGTCAAGTCAAGTCAAGTCTGCGTATCTTGTTTGGATTATGTTTGGATTTTGGATTTCACCTTGTTTGAATAAAACTGCACTTGGGTTCTCACTATGCTCGCCTTCAGTGGACTGGATTCGTTACAGAATACACGACCTAGAACAAAATGAACCCAGCAGTTGTTCGCCTTCTGAGCCTTCGTCAGGGAAGTCGGACCATAGAGGACTATGTGGAGGACTTTTGTGGTTTGTGGTTTGACATTTTTCGTCATTGATTAAATGAGCCCATTTGCTCCCAGCTTCTTGGAGTCTGTTCACGTCACGTCTGCCAAGCCAGAGTCTGCTCACGTCACGTCTGCTACACCAAAGCCTGCTAACGTTTTGTCTGCCAAGCCAGAGCCTGCTAATGCCATGTCTGCTACTGCAGGACCTGCTCACACCATGCCAGTTAAGTCAAAGTTTACTCATGTCATGTCCACCATGTTAAAACCTGATCACGTCATGTCTGCCAAACCAGAGTCTGCTAACGTCATGTCTGCTACCCCAGGGCCTGCTCACGTCATGTCTGCCAAGCCAGAGTTTGCTCATGTCATGCTGGCACCTCAAGAGATTCTTCACAAAATGGCCGCCACACAAGAGTCTCGTCACGACATGGCCGCCATTTCCGAGTCTGCTCACGCCACGCCTGAGTCCCCGGCCAAGATGGCTGCCACACCTGAGTCCCCGGCCAAGATGGTCACCACACCTGAGTCCCCGGCCAAGATGGCCGCCACGCCTGATGGACCTACCTCTGATGTTGGTGAGAGCTGCAGGCATCCCCATAACATCAGTGCTCTCAAGCCCAACCGTCCTAGAAGTCCTGCTGCCCTTACTGTAATGGCGGTCGCCATTTTAAGCGTGTGGGCTGTACACTGCGCTCAAGAGGCCTCTCCTGTCCATGAATCTGCTCCGGAGGCCTTTCCTGTCCATGAATCCACTGCAGAACCTCCTGAGGTGGTGGCGTCTTCTTCCGAACTCACTGCCTGCCCTGTCACGGCCACAGAGGCCGTTCACAAACCCACTGTCTGTCCTGTTACGGCCATGGAGGCCGTTCACGATGTCACGGCCGCCGCGGCCGTTCACGAACTCACTGTCTGCCCTGTCACGGCCTCCATGGCCGTTCATGAACTCACTGTCTGTCCTGTTACGGCCATGGAGGCCGTTCATGAATTCATTGTCTGTCCTGCCACGGCCAAGGAGGCCGTTCATGAACTCATTATCTACCCTGTCATGATTAAGAAGGTCGTCCATGAATTCACTGCCTGTCCCGTTACGGCCATGGAGGCCGTTCATGAATTTACTGTCTGTCCTTTCACGGCCAAGGAGGCCATTCAAGAACTCTCTGCTTGTTCTGTCTCAGTCAAGTGGTCTGTCCATGTCTCTGCTCCGCCATGGCTTCCTGCTCTGCCGTCACCACCCGGCCGCCCTGCTCTGCCTGCACCACCCGGCCGCCCTGCTCTGCCTGCACCGCCATGGCCCCCCGCTCTGCCTGCACCGCCATGGTCCCCCGCTCTGCCTGCTCCGCCATGTCTCTGCCTTGTGTATGTGTCATGTTCTGATTGGTAGTCTTAGTCATGTGTCTTGTTTCCCATTGGTTTGTTCATGTCATGTGACCCTCCTTGTCTGCTATAAGTAGCCATCATGTTCCCATTGTGCCTTGTCGTGTTTTGAAGTTGTAACCCGCTGTCGGTGAGTCTAGTCTGTTTGTGCCTCGTCAAATCTGTTCATGTCTAGTCAAGTCTGTTCATGCCTCGTCAAGATACGTGGACTGCAAGTCAGTTCAGTAAGCAATATTCTCACAAAAGCAGTTTATTCAAGGTAGCACTTTATTTTACAGTCCTGTTCTGCATGTACATACTGTGTAGTTATTATAGTAATTAAATTAATTGAGTAATAACTAGGTACTAACACTGAACCTACCCCTAAATCTAACCCTAACCCATATAATTACCTTATATTACCCAGTACTTACTTTAAGTACACTATAAGTACATGTAAGTGCACATACTGTAAAACAAAGTGCAACCTTATTCAGTGTACTGAAGAGAACACTTGAACACAGACTGCTGTGTCCAAAAACACATACTGTCTGAGTAAGCACTACATTCGATCAAGGCAACTGTTAAAAAAGTATTGTCTACAGTATGCATGCATGTAGCAT